ATATATTTAATAAATTATATAGGTCCGATTTTATCAATATTGGGCAAGGCAGCAGAAACAACAGCAAGACAGTCCCCACACCAAGAAAATAGCACGCAGTCCCTTAGTTTCTTCTCATGCTTCTTGCAGGGCAACAACTACAATTGGACATTGAGGTGGTGAAGCCAGATAACGGCGTCAGGAACTGAGAAGGCTTCCATTTATGTCTTAGTTTTTGTCTTTGCCAGTTACGTATACATTCCTGCCCAGTTTTTTTTCATTGTAAGGTGTATATGTTATTTTCCAATAACATAATAAGAATTGACTTCGTCGTGTGCGTAAAAAGATTTTGTTTGCTAAAAGCATCCAACTTTTAAACCGAAATAAATTTCAGTCCAAATTGTATTTATAATAAAATGCAGCATAAACTTTAAAACCGAAATTTGTTATAATATACAGCTAAAGAGGCTTACGTTTCCAATACGATTAACATTACAAACATATGCCAGTCCCCTGTGTTAAGGGGGGTGAATCCGCGCACGCTGGATACGGATTACCACAACGCTGTCTTCAGGGGGAAAACAAACAGGATCGCAAATAGCGCTTCCCAGTGTGCAGGATGACTTTGCAATTCCTAAAAAAAATGTGGGCAGAGGGCGGGATGAGAACACAGGCCGTGTTTGTGCCGGTTCAATGAATCAAATCCTCTGTAGGCAGGTAAGGCTCCATTCCAGGTGGCTTTGACAAGGTGGCTTTAACGGAACAGTGCCCCCTCGTGACGATTTGTCAATTTAACAAGTGAGCATTTGGGGGGTGGGGGGTGGTTGGGGGGTGGGGGTGGTTGGGGGGTTGGGGGGATGGGGGGGTTGGGGGGGTGGGGAATTGGAAGGGTGGGGGTTGGGGGGGTTGGGGTTCGACGATAAAGAACGATGACGACAGCTTTGGACAAAAACAGCAACGTCGCCAATTATAAATATCTCATCATCAGCACGACCATTGAACCCCCTTGGATTAGACCCGTCTCAAATAATCACGCCTGCCCCTGAACCGAATACATTTCGTCTATATAAACTAAACGAGTTTTTATTTTATTTTACCATGTAAGGCCCACTGAGCTATATAGCTCTTTTTCAGAAGCGACCTGGTCACAAAGGAGAGTTCAACGAAGTGGCTTATTACGTGAACATTTATAGCAGCCAAATACTCAAAACGCATGCTTCTAAATGTGGTTGAGAAAACCCGGAGGACCCAGAGATAAATCCATGTGACCACGGGGAAAACATGCAAACTACAAATATACAGGCGTCAGGGTCGGGATCTGGATCAGACGAGGTAGTTAACATCTCGCCACCGTGGCACCCCTATCAGACGCGACCACCACATATTGAAGTGGGAAATCAGAGAAAGCTTGGTTGGCACGCGACAGTAAATCCTGACCAGGCCGTGAACCATCCTGAACCATCCTGAACCTCAGTTAAATCCAGCGGATGCGTTTAAGACGTCCGCTTAGCACTCGTCTTCACCTTGCATGCAAATTAAAACCGATTTATGCACATTTGAGTTGTTCAAAAGTCAGTTTAAATCCTTTGTTCACCACGTATTTAATGACAAATAAAAAGGCATTGTTCAATGTTCGCATCGATGACATTCAGGCTACTGGACCTAATCAACTTGTTATAATGGGACAATAAGGGCAATAAATGATATAAACGAGACAAATCAGAATAAAATCAAGACAGGTTTGAGTTTTAAGTCAAATCGTGGAGCGGATGGCAGGCTACGGGATTGAATCATTTCAGGTAAAGGTGCAGTCCAGCATTTTGTTGCTGCAGTGGTCATCCTATAGCTACTCACACTACATAGAAAACATAATAGGCATCTGACAACAGCGAGCCACACGAAACAAACTAGCAAATGGCGGTATGAAAACTCGATCAGTGATCATAGATGCTCCCAAAGGAGTGCAACACAAGACACAATATCAACACTTTCAAACTCAAGACAATATCAACACGTAACGTTTACGGTAACTCAACCCGCAAGCTAAAAACACCGCAGGACGGCATTGAACCGGAACACAAATCACAACGTGAAGACCCAAGCGACAATGGTGCCAAGCTAAGTGTGACGTCAACATTTACAGCCAACAGAAACTCGCGTAACAATGTAAACAAACAAAATGACTCCAAACGAAACGGCAACATAACGAGGCAAGTTCAATGGGGCAAATCAAAACCACAATGTCAATACCGTATAGCCACTTCACAGCAATTGAAGCCACAAAATAACATCAAATCAAAGGCACACGTACACGAACTAAAACCACCACGACTACGGAGTCATTTGACATCAAATTTTTCCTAAATTTCAAAACATCGCAGATACCAAATGACATGTCAAACAACAAAAACAACTACATTAACCCGCCCCCCATCAACATATCCAGTTGATATCAACTTTATTTGATCCATAAAAAAACTATGTACAGAATATCAAATCAAAGAATGAAAAACATGGTTGAGAAGTTCCATATAACTTTAAACAAAAACTGCCACAAATAAAATGTAAGTACCGTCAGGGATTTTTTTTATTTCCCCAAACGTGTTATGTTAAGCTCGGCTACCACAACACTGAGAGCTGTACTGCCGGGTTGCACGTGGTTAAGCCATCACATTCAGCACATTTCGTTCCCATCTTTGTAAGCGCTCTCGTGGCACCTTGGTGACCTGCATTCATTCGTTAAGCCGTACGCACTTGGACATTCCTTTAAGGTATCTGGGTCAAAACTCTTCAGTTCCAGAGGTTAGAGACCGTTCCATCAATTGGGCGGACTTCCACAATTACCAAGGGCAACAAAAGCTTTCCGTGAAGGAGCAGTTGGCTGAAAAGTGTTTAACTTTCTGCATTTTCTCTTTGTGACAGGATTTATTTTATTTTAATTTAATCTGTTATTCAGAATCTATATTTATCCTGGAGAAATCCGATTAGCTATTAAGCTCTTTTTCACATATGTCCATACGTGGCAGGTCAGAAAGTTACAACTGTTGATCCTAATCTTCTTTCATTTATGAACTGTTAAAGTGCACCTATCCTGGCACAAGGCATTTAGTGGCGAATGCCAATTGATGTTGTTGTTGTGTTAAAGGCTACACGGGGATCATTGTCTTTGTGTGGCATACTTGCAAACCATACCCATTTAAGCGGTAGACTGTCGACCTCTAAACGATTAGCGACTTGCATCTGATCTTAAACATATTCTTAGGGTTTTTCGGTAAAGTCACGTAGGTAAAACATCTCTTGAGGAAGGCCAGCGTCTCGAGGAGCTGTGACTTTACCGAAAAAACCTAAGAATATGAATCCTTGCAGTCACGAAAGCTTCAAATCTAGAAATGATCTTAAACAATTGTTCTTCCAAGGGGCCACCGCCAGTGGAAAGCCGTCCCTGTGCGGCACAAGAAGACTCATCAGAACCGGCCTTCACGCGGGCATCAGTCTGCCAGCAGGGGGAGATGAAGGCTGCTTGCGTCGTCCCAATTGTTTGCAGGATGAAGGACAGCCACCGCCACACAAACGGATTGGCTTCCCCCTCCCAACTCGTTCAGCTTCCAGAGTTTTCGCTGCCACGCGCATGGAAATGACGCATCGATTATTAGTCTTACATGAAACTTGCATTTGGATGAGTTTGATTATTTTATTTTTTTTATTAATTTTGATGTTTTACCTACGTGACTTTACCGAAAAAAACCTAAGAATTTGATTATTTTGCTGCTGCTTCTTCTTCTTCTTTGCGTCTCAGATGGTTTAGGAGTGATTCATAGATTTGGCCTTCTGGGGAATTACCCTCCAGAAGTTACCAGGATGCACCGCGAGGAGGAATCAATTATCCCCTGCGTTAAATGTCCATTTGTGGCCAGGCCGCCTTAGAAAAATAAGCTAATATTCGAGTGGGCTTTCCCTGGGTTAGATACACAATAGTTGTTTTATTTGTTTATATTTCTGAGTTATTTATTTACACATAGCTGTCAACCCCCTATCAGTGCCTACCTTATTACAGACCATTTAAGACCTTATTGGTCACCCCGTGCCCTTATATATCTCAACGTTCATCCTACAAAGTACCATCACAAGGGAGAAATAAAAACAAAACGCAGTTTTTTGCCCGTATTGAAACGGCCGTACGTCGTATGAACCTGAAAACTCAATTTCCCTGTACAAGAATACGGCCAAACCGTATGAATTGACACAGCATTGTATAATAATACTTCTGCACATATTCTTTGTACTCTTTGGTTCTTTCGTTAAAGTCACGTAGGTGAAAATAAAATAAAACAAATCACTGAAATCAAACAAATCACAAATATTATTTGTAATAATTTTAGATTTGAAGCTTTCGTGACTGCAATGATTCACACTCTTTGGTTTTTTTCAGTAAAGTCACGTAGGTAAAAAATTAAATAAATGCGCATTTCTAATTTACCCCCCCGGCAGCATAACAAAAGGCTTAGCTTTCTTATCTACTTCTACATCACAAAGCTTCAGTTTGAACTCCATGCGTTCCCTCCCAGCGCCCCCCCGTGCTTCACAACGTTGCCTCCCAGCCCACACCCGCCCCCACACTCACCATGGCCCCTCCCCTCCCTCCATCTCCCGCGACGATATAATTCCTCGTCTCAACCATCTCTTAGACACACTTAAGCGGTTGTGCTTTCGCTACGTTGTCCCCACCTGAAGAAGGACGCTTGTGTTGCGCCCGAAACGTCGTGATTGAATTTAGTTGTCTTCATTTATTTTACTTTTCACCTACGTGACTTTACCGAAAAAAAACCAAAGAGTATTCTTTGTAATACTTCAGCGTATGCTTCCCACCAGCCCCCAACATCCACGTTGCGTGATGACCTCACCTCGTTCACGCGGGGTGGGGTGGTGAGGCGGGGGGGGGACGCGGTGACGTCACCCCACTTCGCGTGATGACGTCATGACGTCACTCCACATCGCGTGATGACGTCACTTCACCAACGCGGAGGACGCGGTGACGTCACACGCCGCCCGCCGCGATGGCGCTGCTGCAGGAGCCGCTGGTCGTGTCCTCGCTGCGCCTGGGACCCCGCGAGTTGCTGGGCGCCGCGAGTTGCGGGACCCCGGGCGCGCCGGAGCTCGCGCTCCTCACGAGGTCCCCCCGCAGCGTCTCCCTCATCAAGGTACCGAGCCCACCGCCCTCACCAGTCCCCCACCACCGCCGTCTCTGCGTTGTACACACGTGGCTGTTGAAGCCTAAGAAACTCGCCCCCCTCTGTTAATTGCCACATGGCCGCGTTTGGCAAAGCCGGGAGGGCCTCATGCCGCCAGACCATCGGGATCATTCGTGCGACCGAACGAGCTTAAGTCGATGCTTGGGCAGCCTTTTGAATGGCAAGCGAAGAAGGGGGCGCCGCTCGTTGGCCGAATCGTGTCGTGAATTACCGCATGGTTGGGTGGCATTAGGCGAGGCCTCAGCCCACTAGGCCAAGGGGCCTAAGTGCGCGATTAACTAAAGTGTTTAAATATTCTTGGTTCTTTCGGTAAAGTCACGTAGAAGGGAAATGATAAATAATATAAATATAGAAAAATAAAATTATCACGACGTTTTCTTGCTGTGGATTTCACATCTGATGAAGATTGCTTGTGTTGCAGTCGAAACGTCGTGAGAATTTTTTTTATTGTTTTATATTTTTATTATTTTATTATTTCCCGTCTACGTTACTTTCCGAAAGAACCAAGAATATGAAACCCTGCAGTCACGAAAGCTTTAAATCTAAATTTAAAGTGTTTAACGTTTTAACGCTTAGCTTCTTACATGCTGCGAAGGGCCGTTTCCCAAAATGTCGCCTAATATAGTTTCATTTTAGGGCGGTGAGATTAACCAATGGGAGTTATTTACTACCAAGGCAGTATCGCAAAGCGTGTTTCAATTGTCTTAGTTTTAATCGCGTAAAGATGTCGATTGTATTTTATCTTGGTTTAGGTATTTAATTAGAGATATTAAGTTGCACGTGTGGCTTTAAGATGGAAATGCATTGTGGTGGATGGGTGACTTGATTTAAACATCGCGTAGTGGTTTATCTTGCTTTCTAATTCTTAATAAACCCGCCTTGTGGCTTCTGAGACTCGTCCTAACCATAGGGGTGTCGATTCCACAACTCGATTAGGATACTCTTTGGCTCTTTCGGTAAAGTAACGTAGGTAGAAAAATAAAACAAAAAATAATATCAGCAGTGGAACTGCTATCTACATAACTTTACCGAAAGAACCAAAGAGTATAGATTCCTGCAGTCACGAAGGCTTCAAATCAAGATCGATTAGAATAACAGAACACGAGCACAGCCTCCCGCTTATTTGAGGAGGCATTCATTCACACCGACTGATAACTTTACCGGCCGATGGCCATTGTCACATCGGCTGGGCGAGAAGTCTCTTCTCCACCCCTTCAGTGGGCACGTTGTGAGACCGGGGCAGAGGCACTTTGCGGCCACCTTTTCGACAGGACGGGCCCGTCGTTTTGTACTATCGTTTCTCGCACCGATCTGCTACGACATGGCTTAATTACAGCCTCGCAAACGCAGTTAAACAGTGGATCGCTGAAGAAAGAATGCCACGCGGTTCGCTTAAGAATGAATGCCACGCCCATCATTGGGTAAACGGAATTTCCACCCAATTGCTTCGGGCCCAATGGTAATTTTATCAGGGAGAGACTTTCACATTGTTGAGATGTGATGACGCGCATTTGAAGCTTATGGCGGGAGCCCGGGGTCCCATAACCCCCCGGCTCTCGCATAAACATAATGGAAACAAAAACTTTGCTATTTTTCACCAATGGCCTTGAAGGATGGTGGCAAGTGTTGTCTTGGCAAACTATGCCTTTCAAACTGAAAACTACTTACCTGCAGTACCTCTATTTAACTACACCATCGAAACAATTTACACCCCTCCGTCAATCATCGTGTTTCTCAGTGTGGATTTGTGAACACACTTTGTAAACAGTACGTAAAATTTGTATTTAAAGCTTTCGTGACTGCAGGGTTTCATATTCTTGGTTCTTTCGTTAAAGTCACGTAGAAGGGAAATAATTAAATAATATTGATACTATAAATATAAAACAATAAAGCAGCTTTATGTAAATATTATTTTATTATTTCCCTTCTACGTGACTTTACCGAAAGAACCAAGAATAGTACATAAAATAGTACGCGTTTCAATGCGCTGTTCATATTGTAACAAGCGTCTATACCAATATTACTCTACAGAGTAGTGGATCGCCACTCTGATCTGCATTGATACGAGCGGTATGTGGGGACTATGGCTTAACCGCAAAAAAAGCCTATTTGCACAGATGCATACGGACAAGAGAAGTATTATCAAACAGGAGGAATTAACGGTGCAACGCATCTCATCTGTTAAATATCTGCAGGTAATAGGATTGTCATCGGTTGATCCTGGCTGCAGGCATTGGTAGGTCACAAATAATAATGAAGATAAGAGAGCAGCTTCACTGTATTATGCATCCCGTGATGACAAATAAAGGACTTAAGTCGTGTAGGCAGTTTGAGCAGCTTTGGATAAGACTTGTGATCCTGCCCATACCCGAGCATGGAGTGCATTCGCTTGTTCAGCTGTTCTGTGCATTCGTCCTCACTGCGCTTGTACGACAACAGAATGATCTGCGCCAGGTGGGTCGCAGAATTTATGTACGCCGTTTGACTGAGTCTCCAAAAATAAATTAATTAATTGAGATTTTGACTTCCGTTTATTCGGGACCCGGGGTCCTGCCATGAGGTTAATTTGTTGGTGGATCACGTAGATTTGTACATCTGAAAAATATGCTGCGCTGCCGTCTTGCCAGGAGATGGCAGCACAGAAGATGGGTTCATAACCGTGACTGTGCGGAGCAGCAGTGGATTTTCACAATCAATCCACTCGCCCGGATTGATAGTTCAGTACGAGTGCAGTGGCAGGGCTCAACAGCATCTGTGAGGCTTTTCTTTAACTTCTTTCCAAATGCAGGTATCGGAGCAGAAGCCACTTGGCACATGGAGCTTGCGGCAGGGCCAGAGCATCACAGGACCCGCCATCTACAACCCTCTCACCGCAGAGTACATCCTCGTGCAAGACAAGAAGGTACCATTGTTCGTTTCTCTGTTACATGAACACGAAAACTATTAACTATTTTAATTTCACCAGGTAAGGACTACTGAGCTATGAAGCTTATTTTCAAAAACGACTCGTCCACAAATGATAGCTCAACCAAGTGGCTTATCACGTGGAAGTTTATAGCAGCCAATCTCTTGAACGCAAGTTTCTAAATGTGGAGGTAAAACCGGAGGACCTGGAGAAAAATCCATGCGACCACGGGGAGAAAACCCAAACTCCAAAATATACAGGCGTCACGGTCGGGACGAACCCACTACCTCCTGTATACCAGGCGAGGGAGTTAACATCTCGCCACATGTATGCCCTATGGGTGGCAGGGGGTGGCACAGTGGTTGCTCACACTCGTGCCTCACTGCAAGAAGTAGCCATGTTTGTTTCTCAACTCGAGCGCCTTTTATGATGGACTTTGTTCTTCCCCTGGTCTGTGTTGGTTTCCTCTGGTTGAAGGATTTCCTTCCATTGTAAAAAAAAAATATACAATCTAACTTATATTGGCCAAACATCTCAATGTAAACACATACCTGCAAATTCCTCAATTAGGATAACACAACAAAGTTTACCCCTCCTGCAAAATCTTGGTAGGACCCTCCTGAGACTGGGGTAGAGGGATTTAGTGAGTCTCAAGACTTAGGCTTGAGACTTAGTCTTGAGACTCGGTGAGGCTTTCCTGGGTAAACGAGCGTAATCATGACAATGTATGTAATATAAGCGGGAATTCATAAAAAATAATGTATCTTCCACATTCATTCTGCAGGTTGTAGAGTTTATCAATCATGAGGTATGTGCAACGTCTAATGGATTTGTCGTTCGTTAAATGACATAACCAAAAAAGAGCCAATTCAATGAGAAATATTTGTGTATGAGAAATGGTGTGCACATTTCCCCTTTCATGTCTTTTTAATCATATTTCAGACACTAAGAATTTGGAAAGATGAAGATGTTAATCTTGACAAAGTCTTCAAGGCCACCGTGAGTATCCTGCAATATTTTGCCTTTCGTACTTTTTGCATCATAAATTTTAGTATGATTCCAGTTGGTTTATGCTCATCAAACAAAATCGGCAACTGGCTGTGGGTTTTATTCACAGGTGTCGGCGGAGATTCACAGCCTTGTGCCGGGCGTGTGTGGCGGCGAGCCGGCCGTTCTGTTCGAGGGGGGGGCCGTGCTGCCCCTCGACGTGCTGCTCTCTGCCCCCCAGCAGCCCGTGGAGGCTTCGCTCCCGCAGGGCGAGGTCATCAGGTAGCGGCGCTAACGCACGCAGAGATATTTAATGGGAATTTCCTTTGTTACGATAACTGAGCCGTGTCCGTGGTTGCTTTCGTTCTGCCGCAGCGGGTGTTCATACATGCTGTCTGCTTAGTCTCCTATGGCGTTGTGATTTGCAAATGGCAGTGAGGTAGTGGTGTTACCAAACTGGTCTCTCCATTAAACGTTTTTGCCCACTATCCAAGCCAAGAGAGATTGGTACCCCATTGCTTGTGTTTTCATGGAAGCACTTGAATTATTTCTCTACAAATAATTTGTATTACTATTCCATATTTGCCCAATTTGAAACTAGATTTGTATTTGTATGATTCTTACTCGGTCATTATAAAGGAGTGCTGTGTTTGCTTTTGCAAGTTTATGTTGATGTGGCTCCGGTGATGCCTTTGTGATGTAACCATTGAGGGTTAAGCATGCTATTCTCCTTTTACTTGGCAGGTATTGCAAGCCCATTGGTGACGAACAGACAAAGCTTGTTGTGTATTTAAGTGAAAAGGTAAGGTCATGAACAACCGATTATTAAATAGTAATAAATACACGCCTAAAAAACGTACTAATTTCTTCAATCAAAGTAGATTCTTGCACTCAAAATACATGCCTCAAATAATGTGGAAAAATCGACGAATTTGTATTTGAACATCGTCTTTGTAACTAATGGAAGCTTTTCCGCCACGAGAGACAACATGCACAACTCTGACGAAATCTCATCTGAAACATTTAAAACAGCACCCCCAGTGGCAGAGATATCCCTGTGTGGCACAAGGTGAATCAGCGCCTTGCCTACTTGCAGGCATTGTTATGCCAGTAGGGAGGGGGGTGGTAAAAGATATGCTTAACCCCAATTGAGTAATTTCAGGATAATTTTCGAATTTAGACCATGATGCCGACATGCAGTGACCTGCCTGCTTCGAATGACGTTAGGGGATCATTGTAAAGCAGACGGCGTGCGTTTTTACTGTTAATACACCCATAGTATTAATCAGGGTGGCCTGCCGTATTATAACTAATGTCTGTAACGACGAATGGGCTGCCACTGGGTCATGTCAGAAACAACTTATTCGTGCGTTGGATTGTGACCTGGATCTTGACAGTTCATTGAAAGGCAAGGAAGGGTAAAACTTTAGATGGCAGGTGTCCACTGTTCTTGGTAAACTTATGTAGTGGCTTGTGTAGCTCCAAATGCCACACCTGTGATCCACTATAATTAGCTGAAATACACTAACATTGTACTTGCTAAACATGAATGACAATTGTTATTGACCTCAGTTCTGGTGAGGGATTACTTGTGCTTGTTAACCAAGTTTAGTTAACCAGGTATAAATATTCTGATTCTATAATGTATCGGTTAATGCCACCTAGTGATTCTAATACATTTGAAAAACTACATCTCACAAAGCTGTACAAGGCAGCAATAAAATAAGAAAAATATTCTATGCAACGTCATGATTTTGTCACGATTAGATACAAGAGTTGAGCATTATTTTCTTGTTTGTACCGTCTTATTTATATTCACATTGTCCTGTCTCATTTGTACAGTTGTAGTTCCGTTAGCCTAATTGTAACATGAGTCGCACAACTTTCATCACGAAAATAAAGATTCTTACAGGCACCATTTGTTGCTTGTAAGGTGAGCATAGGAAATTCATTTATATTTGATAAGTCGAAGCATTTTTCATTACCTTAGCGTTGGTTGTTGGTGTCTCTCTGCCCAGGATGAGGTCTTTACTTTCCACGTGCACAGCCTCAACAACTCCAGTGCCAAGCGGAAGCTCCTGCTGCGACCGGGGCATTCTGGAGCCCGACCATTGGCTCACGATGTCAGCCTCCAGCAGGGAAGAGTGCAGCTCACGTCGTTGTGTGAGTGACACGTGTTGCCCATTTTTAATGCTTTCCAAGCGTTTACAAGTGTTGACGTGTCCGCTCTGTTAATCTGTCTGTGGCGGAGAGATCACATTTCCTGTAAAGATGATCAAACAATTGAAACTTTAGTATACATTTGTTATTGCTGTTCAGTAAAATTAGCCAACTTGGCCAAAGGGTTATGGAAAACTTGACAATATATAACTGATGCTAAATAAAAAAAAAATTTGGCCAAAGCAACATCCCACTCCATGCATATGTCCCGCTTCCTCGTAACGTTCTTATGCGAGACGTCCTCTTGAAACGTCGCATAACGACGCGGTCAACCAATGTTTGCCTCTAAAGCAGCGACTTGCAGGCGTGCACCACCCATGCCTAACTGTACCGGGTGCATTGTTGAGCGAATGTGGATGTGTCTGTTCTGCGTGGCGCAGGTAGCGATGGTGGCTTGTACAGGGCCGAGGTTCCACTTGGCTTCGCGGGGGATGATGGACAGACTGGGATGATGACCACTGACCTGCTGATGAAGCTGCCTGCCTTTGAGGTCGTTTCAGAGGTCGTTTCCCTGGCAATGCTGGATGAGTCGCACGTGGTGGTGGCAGGGGTGAGGCACCCATACGAGCTCTCCGTTAAAGGTGATTAACTTATTCTATGATTGTCATCATCACCCATACTCAATCCACTGGTGCATGTGAAGGCCTCCACAATCTGCTGCCACAATATGTCAGACCTGCACTGTAATCGTCCACTAAGCACCTGTACACAAGCTGATTTAATCATTCAATTTCCTCGGTGTATGTCCTATCAGGTGTTCCATCCCTTGGCTGCCACTGTAACTCGACTTGACCTTGTTTCGTGTAATTATAATTGACCTTATTTTATGACGTGTCCTGCCCAAAACCCACTTTCCTAACGTGCATGTATTTTGCCTGCATACAACCATGCAATTTCTGGAGGTGTGGTGAAGCGTTAATTGCCTCTTAACAAGTGCACATGGTGATAACTGTCCTACATCTGGATTCTAGCCTTGAATTAACTAGAATATACCCACCCCCAGGGCTTTCTCCCAAAATAGGCTTTTTTGTCTGCCTGAGCTCTCACCTGGTAATAAAGTTCATATGTGTGCATTTTATATAAACGATTTCTTCTGTGGTCATTAAGATGATATAGCGTAATGTAAATCACATTAAATCTTGACTTAATTCGTGACTGCAGGAATCCATATTCTTTGGGTCTTTCGGTAAAGTCACGTAGATAGAACAATAAAATAATAAATGAAAATAAAGTGAATAAAAATAATGAAAATATCACGACGTTTTGATTGCAACACTCAATCATCATCAGGTGAAAAAAGAGGGGGAAAAGCTGCTGAGGCAGGCTGTTTTAAAGGTTTGAAATGGGTGTAGCCCAAGGGTCATAAACGACGTGGGCGGGGCTAGTGATGTAAAGAGAGAGATTAGCATGTCAATGTAAGAGATTAGCATGTCAATGTAAACGACGGCTTTGTTAGTGTGAACCTGTTAATGTAAAATCAGAGTCGAAAATAACTACTAACATCGGAAGGTACGATGGAAACATCACAGCCAGTTATGACTTAAACTGGTTTATAACGTCCTTCCAATGATTGCTCAGTTGGGACCCATCTTCTCGGTTGAAATTGTGTCTGTCTATATATCTGGATGGCTTCATGAACAAATCTTTGTTGATAGCCAGTGGGCTTGCAGAGTATCTTCGTCTTGGAGAAGTCAATTTCGTGTGAGCCCCCACCGCATTAAAATAATGATCAGCCACGGGGCTGAGGTATTGGTCCTACCGTGTTTTAGATCTGCCTTATGTTCACGAACATGGTCCGAGACATGTCGCTTAGTTTCCCCAATGTAACTGCTGCCACAGACGCAGCTTAGTTTGTAGACGCTGGGCTATTGCATGTCAGGGATCACATCCTTCACAGATGGGATCAGATCACAAATTTTATGTACTGTGTTAAATCGAACCTGTATCTTGTGTTTGCTCATGATTTTGGAAATCGTTTTGGTGATCCCTGCTATGTATGGCAAGGTGATGGTTTTGATTGGGTCCTCAGATGGTTCTTTCCCAACGGTTGGGGTGATAGCTTTACGGATTGTGTAGTCTGAATATTCATTCATCTTCAGGGCTTGGAGTACGTGTTCCAATTCACTGAATCGGTGATGATGGTCGGATATACAACGAGCTCTATGGTGTAAGTTTTGATGAGGTAATTTTTCTGGGATGGATGGTGGTGGGAGTCATGTTTTAGGTAGGCATCTGTATGGGTGGCTTTCCTGTAGACTGTCCCATTGAGCCATCTGGTCTCTTTTCGATTAAAACATCCAAGAATGGTAACTTTCCATCCTTTTCCACCTGGGCAATGATATCAACTGGGATGTGTTTAGGGGTGACTGCAAAATTCAGCCTTTTAGCTAGAACCGGTTTTAGGCTGTCGGAAATTGGACTGTTACTCTGATTGATAACAATCTTGTCAACGTTTAACTTTTTAATGTGTGGATCTGGCTTCTTCTTGGAAAGAAGGTTGAACTTGGAAATCAGTTATTTTTGCATTTAGCTGACATTCAGGCAGCTGAAGAGGCTGTCATGTTATCTACATGGTCCCAATCAGATGTAGACATTTTTTCCGTCAATCTTAAGTGTGATTTCAAGAGAGTCCTGTCTAAATTGTCTAGTTCAAATCGGAAAAATCTTATTCTCTCTGAGATCAGGGCTAGGCCGGCCCTGAACAAGATCCGTTTAGCATTGGGAGAAGTGACAGCAGCAGATGTGAGTGTAAAGGCTATCGGTATTACCTTGGTGTCGTGGCATCTCTTCAGAAATGTGAGCGACTCGATCAGATGAGCCTTCTTGTCTCGAAGTTTGTTAAAAGATCTAATAGTTGTGTGGAAACCCCCTCCCCGTAGAGTCCGGTTAAATCTTGACTTAAAGCTTTTGTGACTGCAGGAATTCATATTCTTTGGGTCTTTTAAAAACAGCTCGCCTCAGCAGATGTTCCCCCTCTTTTTACACCTGATAGCAATTGCTCGTGTTGCGATCGAAACCTCGTGATATTTTAATAATTTGTATTCACTTTATTTCCATTTTAATTTATTATAATTGTATTGTTCTATCTACGTGACTTTACCGAAAGCCCCGAGAATGTAAATCACATTTTTTGAGAGCTTTAGCCATATATATATCTAACACATAACCCATCGAAGCAAGATTCAATGACTTGTCAACATTTTTTATATATATTTAATTGAAGCATAAATCCATTTTTTGCCATTTCATTTTCACGGTTTATCCTGTTCCACCTCGTGAGGGACAGTCTTGTTTCTATCGGCCAGCCGCGTGTTAACATTTGCGATTTCAACGACTGGTTGCGACATGCCCCCACCACACAAGTGTGTCACCACTTGCCTTGTTTTGCAGGAGCCCTGTCTGTGTGGAACACACAGTTTCAGACCTTGCAGGACTGGAAGAGTCTTCCAGGCAGTGAGACAGCCTGCGGACGGGTAAGTGTTGCCACCACCAGCTCCCCACTCGGTCGGTGGTTGAACGGTTTTGTACTCAATCCCTGCCAAGGGCATGAGCTCTGGGGAGGCTCATTCACTTGCCATGGTCCTTCCCGGCAAAGGCAGTGTATGCAGAAAAACTATTCAAGACTTGTGAACATGAATGGCATTTTTATTAGGTTCTTAGTGTATCATGGGTCTCAGAGTTAGTTATTTATTGCTGGGAAATATTGTGCACAAGGCCGATGGACAAAGGAGAGATGATTTTCTTAGCTAGAGCGATGGCCTTTCTCGTGTAACAAAAAATATTTGTTTTTGTTCCTGGGTAAGTGTTATTTTCTGATTGCTTATGCCTCACAAGTCCAGAAAATTGATATTATTCCCCACAAACATTGCTTTTGTGACCAGGACAGTGATATTTTGAAATTTACTTATTTTCAATTCGAAAACGTGGTGTGCATTTGTCTCATTCTGCTTTCATGTTGACTTTTCTGCTTGAGCTAACGAGCAACATGCAAAATTTTGCCTTTAGGTTTCGCTTAATGTCCATGAGGCCTAAATAAAAAAAAATACACTTTTTAGACCCTTACTGTGCTTTCTGGAATGTTTTTTTGGCGGTATTTTTGTTTGCCAATACTATATTCATTGTACATATTTGGTTTGCAGCAATAATGGGAAACACTGTGGCCAATTCATATCTTTTAGGATTTGCAACACCAATCCCTAGATGGACACTGATTTCGAGTTGACATTCTCGCAGTAAATAAGCCACATTTGACAAGTGGTGTACTTTTAAAGTTATTGATAATGAGGCGTAGAGACATTACACTTGGACATTTTAGACCCTTGCCGTCAATCCTGGAATGTTTTTCTTTGCCGGTCATCTCCCATTGGCACAGCCTGAAAATAGCCACAGGGGATTCTATGCCTGTGGTTAGATATCTGTGCCCACAGCGAATCGAGGAGCATAGTAAGTAGCCGTCGGTGACACCCACACAGACCGGCTAAAGGAGTGCTCCCACATTCAACGTCCTCGTGTACATGAGTTGCCTGTGCTCGGCAACTGAATGTGCGGAAAAAAATGATTGTCGCCGAGTGCTGTACTTAGCCAGGGTCTGAATCTAGTTTTTTGGGGGTTAAATTCACAAAGTCATTCAAGCTTGTCCACTTAAACAGGCCAGATCTTCTTTTACGTGTGGTTGATATTGGCGAGTGCAGCAGTCCTGATAGAATTATCGCGGTTGGCTACCTATGGTGCCAAATAAATTCAAGATACATACCCGTTGTCGCCTGTCATAATGGTCCACCTCTCCTGTCGCCCCCTCTGCCCCCCGCCCCACCACTCTCTTTGCCACAGCTGTGGCGTGTGTCTAATCAGCTGTTCCTGGCGCATGGCAAAACCCTGCTGGTGAGCGCGTTCACCTGTGAGCCCACTTGCCTTGCCTTGGCCCTGGGCAAGCAGCACCAGCTGCTCCACACAGGTGACCACAACCCCCTGCCCCTTGTGGTCCCATTCAATTTGTCCTGTCGGCGCTAAACCCGGTGCATCTTGTTGTATGGCATGGATTGGATTTACTAATTGGTAATAATTAGTTCCTAGGATTAGCCATGTGTGACTTCTGGTCACAGATGCGTTGTACTTGTATTTAGTAACGGACTGTTTTCTTGTTTATTGACATAGATGTCTGTATTGTATTCATGTTCTTTATAAAAAAAAAGTAAAACAAATATTGACTGTTGCGCATGCCATCATTTAAGTTCAGTTAAAGGCCAATCATATTCTTGCCCACCTGATACAAAATCACTTAAAAGGTCACGTCAAGTTGTGTAACACTTGGTGTGTGTTTGATCGATTTAAAATCCAAACATCGATTTCTCCTTTGACACATTTTGCCCTGATTGTTATTTTTTTGATGGCTTTGATAAAGTTTATATTATTTTTCTTTTACCATCTTGGTGAACCAAGTCACTCTTGCGAAACAACCTATTCTGGTCTCTGGTTAAACAAATGAAATTGACCTAAATCTATGCTTTTTGTGCACATTTTAACGTTGTTTTTGTTGGTTTTTCGATAGACACAAAACCAAGCCCGACACTGGTCAACTGGTACGCGCAGCCTGTGAAGGACGAGCAACCAAAGGTAACGTAAACACAAAAGGATGTTTCATTAGTAGATGAGTGTAATTTAAGTCCCTATGACCAAGGGGATATACCCTGTTGCACGATTTGTGGGCCCCTTTATTTGAGTTGGCTTATGGGACCCAGTGTAGCCACATACACTAAACTATTTTTATTTTTACCAGATAAGGCCCACTCTGAGCTATTTAGCTCTTTTTCAGAAGCGACCCGGCCACAAATGATAGCTCAATGAAAGTGGCTTATGTGGAAATGTATTGCAGCCAGATAGTCAAAAACGCATTTTGACTCTAATTGTGGAAGGAATAACCAGAGGACCTAGTGAGAAATCCACATGACCACGTGGAGAACACGCAAACTCCAAATATACAGCAGGCGCCAGAGTCAGGATCATACCCACGGCCTCCAGCATACCAGGCGAGGTAGTTAACATCTCGCCACGGTGCATTGTGGGGTGTGTCAATGAGCAGATTTTCTGGTTGCTCGGACTTCGAAATTGATGGATCCAAGAGGAATCAACTGTTTTGGATCCCAGCTCCTGCACCTTGCGTTGTCTTAGGGCCACATGCTGGCAAAAGCAATCGTCACTGTTGGCGGACGTATAGTATGCCAACCCTGGCACGCATGTCGCGGTGACATCTACCAGACAGACTTTGCTCAGCAACAGTGATAAAAAAAATACTGCTCAGCAATGAATGTGCTACGAGCCAGATGGTGGGATAACACCCAGTGGCCAGTGTTGGATGTCTCGTAGATCATCTCGGCTTTAAGTGTGTGGCAGTTGCAATGTGTGAAACATTAGTAGGGGGAGGATACAAAGGTGCCAGACACGTGCTGGCCATACCACGCCACGTGTCGTGCCATTCTTAATAGGTGCTCGCCTTGAGCACTTGCCCCATCGGTGTGTGTTGGGTAATCAAGGGATATTTGACTTGGTGAGAATGTATGTTTACCTAGATGCAAGCATGCACATATCACAAAGGCATTTTTGTTCATACTTGAGCAAAGGGTGCAAATTCCACTCTGCTATCTGCGTCCGCAAAACACAGCCCCCTCTTATCACCAGATGGGATTTTCACTGACTGCCTTTACGACTGCCAGCCTGTTGCTACGCCAACTGTACTCTGCTGAATGTCAAGTGCAAATCTATTTACATGATTATCTCTTGTTTTATTAATGGTGTGTACTTCGTCGTGTCCGCAGCCAAAGAGAAGCAGGAAGTCTCAGACAGTGGCACAAAAGGAGCCTGTCACAGCCGAGTCTGTGCTGTCACTCATGCAGGTGAGGGCATGTCAATGTTGGGTTCGTTGCTTGTAGGATTTAAGATCCCTTTGAGCGGGGCTTCCCAACCTGTGCTTCGCAAGGCCGTGGGTGGGAAGTGCTCTGGAATTGTGGCACAAACAAAAGTTTTCACAAAACACCAACTTTATTTACTGCATGGTGGTCCGAGAACATTTTCACCGATTAAAAATGCTTCCGTCGGTGTTTAATCCCTGCTGCCTTAGGTCTCGAGATGATTGCTCTACATTACATTTGTATTCGGAAGTTCATAAATGGTTAAGGAGCAGCCGTGCACTGGCTTGCTCACGCCGCTGCTGGTGGAAGGGCCTCCACGATAGGGAACTATAGAGAGTCCCTCTAAATGGTATTTGGCCTACTCTTCAACGCTGGCCAGACGACCAGACAGAGGTGGGCGTATTCACACTTATCCCACCGCACGTGACCTGCTGATCGACTTACTGCAGTGATCCCGTTTATACCGCTTCGGTTAACAGGCGCGGGGGTTTCTTACAAACTTTCACCATTTCTTAAATTCCCCTGCTGGGAGATTGAATCGAACCAGCGACCTCTGGATTGCTAACCCAAGGCAGCATCTTTTGGTTAATAGAAATTAAAGTGAGCAGAATTTGCAGGCACATCACGTTTTGTTGGTTGGCATGGCTCCTACATCTGCCAACAGCTGCTCTGTGCTCTGGTTTGATGAGCCGTGCCACATAGAACCGGGATATTAAGCTAGTCCTCTGTTTCTTCATTAAACTGAGGACTAAACCCATACCCCTACATGACAATGCACACCACCACCACTACGCAGTTCACACAAACCATTTTTGGACAATCAGTGCACATAACCTGAAATGGGAACTCGTTGTCTAAAGAGCCTTGTGAAACTTGGTTTTATGCTTTACAACTAGGATTTAATCATTTACACACAAGCTTTGTCCGTTTGCCACTACCAGCTGAGATAAATAGGATTTTTCTGGAGATACGAGAGTTGAGCTGTATTTTGGTGTGGGCTGTGAGAGCTAAGTTGGATTTTGCTGGGGGCACGAGAGAGTAGCTGGGTTTTTCTGGAGACTGTGAGAGTTAAACTGGGAGTTGCTGGGTTGCTGAGAGAGTTAAGTTGTTGTGATCGTCTTGGAGGCATCACATGGGGTCTGCGCTTCCCTCATGGCAGGACGGCTCGGATGACCAGATCTGCACGGCGTTAGAGTCTGTGCTGTGCTCATGCCCCGCTCCGGACGTGGCGGCCTTGGCGGGTCGTCTGGCACGTGAGCTGGCAGCAGCGGCGACGACGGTGCGGTCGCGCGACGCCGACTCGTTCCACCCGCGGCGCTCGCTCGTGTGTCTGGCGAGCACGGGCGCCCTTTCACACAGGTGCCCCCCCCCCCCGCTCACCGGTAGTGGTTAGTAGGCATGGACAGACTTGCCCCTGTCATAGGAATGTGGAGTGTCCACCACTGACCCAGAGGTGCAATAGGCAAATGGGCCACCACCTCAATAGTCATTTGAGCAAGATCAATTTCACTTCTTCAGGAGGTATGTGGCTATGTTTGTCAGCATAAAATAATCCATTGTGCTGCATTCATAATTATGCGCCAACGTCTATGCTCTCAGCCTTCATCAATCTGCACTGACCACCATTAATTATGTGGTCAAATAACCCCTATAACGTATACGCATGCAACGAATCATCAATATTTTGACTAATATTGGTTCTGCTCGAGATACACGCACCCTGTACGATTTATGGAAAATATTTGCACGAATGATACACGAATGTTGCATTTAGGCTCATGGAGAAAGCAAAAGTGTAACTAACTTAGAAAGAGCGATACACAAAAGACATGATGGTAAAATAATTAAGCCGTCTTGAGATTTTTCTGCGCGGACTGTGTGTACTAACTCACGGCCGGTGGGTCGGTGTGCCGCAGCGCGTGTCCCGGGGTGTTGAGTTTGGCGCTGGAGCGGAGGGATTTTTCCCTACTGCAGAAGTGTCTCTTCGCGTTTCCCGACACCCCCGAAGCCCTGCTCATCACCAGCCTCAAGGCCATCCTCGGGTACTCGCAGCCACGATCGATCCACCTTGCACCACCCGCACACCGGCTGATCACATTGTTCTGAATCGGAGGCGGACACAATTTCGGTGGCACGTCTCCACGTGAATGTAGCACGACGTACTGCACAATAATTAGTTTTTGAAGAAGCGCCCTTAACGCCGTAGTCTTGGGAGTTCTGTACACGGGATAAGCGACTTACAATCACATCTCAAACATTCAAAAGGGCCATCCCCCAGTGGTACCAGCTGTGTCCCTGTTGCGGAACAAGATCGCTTGGCACCTGGCCTGCTATGTGTAATCCCAATTCCGTAGATTTTGAGTACATTCTCTTTTAAGTATGCGAATATGGGCCATGGTGTGCGCCCACAATGGCCTACTCTTTTCAAATGACGTCAAGGGATCCTTTAACGTCCATTGTGAAGCAGACGGCACGTAGTCTTCTTTATCGTTAATACAGCCGCAGCAATGAGAAATGCAACAGTGGAGTTGTGTTTTTTTGAATGAGCCCTGCCTCAACGAACCGTTGTTCCTACCTGTATAAATCCCCCCTCCCAAAGACTCTCAGACTCTGAGCTGGAGGCCTGCACGGTGGACGTGTCGGGGGTCACAGGCTGCCTGGCGCAGGTGGAGGGTGCGGCGGGCGGCAGGCGCAAGTCGGGGCCTCCCCACGCGGCGACCAACGGCACCGCGAATGGCGGCGGCGATGACAGTGGCGCGGATGGGGCGGCGGCGACGCCTGCGAGGGACAACGAGGGAGACTCGGACTACGAGTCCGGCGGGGACAAGTTTTCGGCCGACTGGAGCTGCCGGCCGCTCATGTGCCCCCTGCCGCTCAAGCAGGCCGCCCTCGTGTATCCTGTCCCTGTGCGCTCGAGCCCCCCCCCCCCATACCCCGCCCTCTATGATGAATGATCTGTAAAGTGTCTTTAACCTGCCAGCTGGCTCGGCGGTAACACGAGCCGCTCACGACATTCTGTTTGCGAGTTCAAATCCTGGCTGTTGGGTTGACTTGGACCATCATCCCTTTGGGGTGCATGCAAATGATTACCACTTCGTTTGGAAGGGATTTTCCCCCCTCTCACCCACAATAGGAATGTGGAATTTTCACCACTGACTCAGGGCTGTAAACAGTCAAGAAAGGATTGCAGTCCTGGTAACTCAAACGTCAGAGTTTACATATGTATTTTGACTTTATTTGTCATTGTACTTATCTAGGGTTTTCACCTGGTCAAACGAATGTGGGACAGCCACTCGTCCCTGTGGGTTTCCGTGAAGCAGTGGTGAATTCACATTTCTGAGCTGATGAGATCCGTCTCCATAGGACCCCCATTCCCTGTGGACACCAGTGGTGTAATGCAATGGATCCATTAGTGCAATTAGTGTTCTTTATTTAGTTCATTGGAAGCCCTTTCAGATTTTACTGTCTTGCCAGGGCATCTGGTAAATGTGATTCATTTGTATTCGATCGCAACACAAGCAATCGTCATCAGGTGAAAAAATAGATTGAAACGTCGTGATATTTTCTTAATTTTCTATCTACGTGGCTTTACCGTAAGACCGAAAGAATATGAATTCTGCAGTCACGAAAGCTTTAAGTCAAGATGATTCCTTTGGTTTAATATTTTGTAACAAGTGATTTTTCATTGTCATTTTGCAAATTATCCTTTTTCAATTCACAATTACATAAGTGAAATATTACACTCAACTATGTTATGCTTCAAAAAATGAAACCCAAGTAAACCACAGTTACTGTGGTCTATAAATATGCAATTATTGATTAGGTGGGGTTTTTTTTGGCTTTCCAACCAAGGTTAATAGTATATATATTAGCTCTGTCCGTCCGTAAGAGGGATATAACGCCTCTGAAAATGATCTGTTTAACAACCTTTAGAGTTCTATTTGGGAAGGCAATTCGTGCAATTCTGCCACCTTTCCGGAACTACTGATGTAACATCTATTGCTCGTAAGATGTTATTCTTTTTAAATTACTGGCTTATAGCTGGTCTCCTTGCCAATGATATCCATATTTTACTTGAGACCCACTTCACAGCAGGGGCAGCACGTGGCAGTAAGACAGCACGGCATATATAGGGCAGCTGTGGAAATCAAACCCTTCAATCTGTAAACCGGCTTGGTTCAGTATTGTGCCGAATACTTGGCTACCCAGCTAATGTAGGTCAGGTGACGCTGGTCTTGTTCCTGCCTTACTCTGCCTTATCTATTTTTTATTCTGCTTGTATACCCAGGGAAGCCTCAGAGTATTGCAACTTTATCAGAAGGGTCATGGCAATTTGTTAGTTATGGGTGATGTTGCTAAATGTAATCCCAATCGAGTAATTTGCAGGTAATTCTTCACACTGCTTAACTTTGGAATTCCATTTCGTCATTTATCCCAAGATCCTATAACCTTGGTAAATTCAAGTAAGGTGTCAAGTCTATAATCAACTTTGATGGTGCAGTTTATTGCTAGCTGGTTGACGTTTTGGGCATTTGGTCATTTGCCTAGAAACTGTTTAATAAAAAATAACCCCATTAAAGTCGTGTTCCGTTGCGAGGCCTTGACCAACATGTTACAGTAACGCCGTCCTCTGCTCAGCCTTCAGCGACAACTTCATGCTGCCCTACCTGAAGGATCTGCAAGCGGAGCATGTTGTGGTAGGTAACACAAAAACTTGTGTTTTTTCGCTTACTTTCCCAGGAAAGCCTCGTTGTGTCTCTTGACTCTTTTTACAGGAGGGTCCTGCCAAATATTTTCGCAGAAGAGAGCTATGAATTATTTGTATAATCCCAATCGAGTTATTAGATTTTTCTAATTTTGATCATGACCCCGGCACATAATTGCTACTATTTCCAAAAATGTCACGGGATATTTAATGTCCACCGTGAAGCGTACACCACATAGTATTTTATGGTTAATACATCCGCAGTAATGACCAGGGCGGCCACTGGATTCGAACCGTGAACTTCTGCAACAAGAGGCAGATTTTCTAACCGCGAGGCTATGCCACCGCCCATGCATCGTAAATTGCCGTTGTGATTCTTTTACACAAAACTTGCTGGCCTTTGTCAGGTTATTCAGGCCTGCTAATACCTATTCAGTTAATAGAAGTATTAATGCTATGCACTGAAATGCTAGCTCAAATTTATTTTCTTCTCAAGGCCAACCACCACCTTTCATACTGTGGTAACAATGCTTTTTGCAGTAGAAAGTCTTAAACCACTATGGTGAACAACGCAGAGAATATGGGCCTATTAATAATCACATTACCTCTTGTCACTCGAACCACACTTCTGCTAAGCAATGAGCTTTGAAGTTCCGGTGGGAACACGAACATTCAGCGCTGTTCTGTATAGCTCCAGCGATAGCTGTCAATTGCTTAGACAAAACAAAGTTCTAGGCTGCAATTTTAAAATTAATATTTTATTTTTAAACTGACAAGTTTGATTGGGTGCACCCTTCACATGGCCATGAATGTTGTTGACCACGTGTGTGTTTTTGTATGTGCACCATTTACCCTGCCCACAGCGCTTGCTCCAGTATCTCCAGTTCCTGCTCAACCAGTGCTCGCAGACCAAGGATGGAAGGCTGGGGAATGCCGATCCAGATATGGAGCAGGTATGTGGTCGTTGGCTCTAACTGTGTGACTCCCAGAGGTGTCCTATATTGGGGTCAGGGTCTGGGAGAGACACTGCCTTCTCTGATAACGATACCGCTTTGCAAGCTTTATTTACAAAAGCCCAGCTCTAAAGGATTGGTTGAAGGATTGGTTGAACATGACTTCCAAGTGACTTTTTCCTGAGTCTCAGAAGACAACCACAACAACGATGTGGCATTGATGGGCACTGCTTGTGGATCTGTCAGCAATTTTTCCGTGAGCTGGTTGGATGAGTCGGATGAGTCGTGCGACAGAGAGCTGTGGGGTGTCTTTAGCTCTTCCTGTTGAATCATTAAACAAAGGACCAACCCCACGTTTTCACACAAACAATGCTTTGCACCATGCATTGGCACCTGCATCTACGTGGACAGATTACCAATTCTTTACTTGACACCTTGCAACCTGGCCTGCCCAGGCCTGGCAGTGAGCCCAATGTGCTTGCAAGAGGGCTTTCATTCGATACTTTTACTCCTAATGGCCCATAAAAGTACGAATGGTATAAATTGTGCCTTGGATGTCAGTGTATATCTTCTCATGTAAGATTTGGCAGTTTTGGATTACCTTGTGCCTCCTCAGAAATGCTTAGTATTTGCATTTTATGTTTTTCTTTGGGATGTGTGTCAGCAGCAGTATTAGTTTAGTCAGGCTTTTTTATTTATTACAATCAAGTCTTATTGCAATCAATGACAACTTGTGGAATTCGATTTAAATATTAGTCCTGTCACTTGAGTTTAGTTACTCTTAATCAAGTCCACTAAAGCAGTAAAATGTTTAGTGATAGGTTGGTGTGAGTCATGCACCATTTCAGATGAGCCAACCGGTGAACGCAGTATCTCTATCTGTGTTACACTATATACCATTTTAGTCTTGGTGCACTGCAGTCTCTAGCAACGCTACTAAATGATCTTACTCTGCATATTTATTCGGACTCATTAATTTCAAATTGTTGTAGTCATACGTGCTTTTGGTGTTTGGTGGGTAGTCGTGGTCATTGTTGTGCTTTATTTTCTTCGGTCACTCCCAAGTCACTTAACAGAACACTGACGAATATTATTGTCGCAAGTTAAAGTGAACAAAATTAATGATTGTCGGCAGTGTTTGCCTGGAACATGGGCCGGATGAGTGAGGGGTGATGACATTTCTGTATCTTGCATGCAGGTCCTGCAGTGGATATCACTACTGCTGGACGCTCACTTCACCATGCTGCTGCTCACGCCGCAAGCAAAGCCACTCCTCTACACCATGCACAAGTTCGCAATCACGCAGGTAAACAGGATCACAGCAGCTGGTCGTATGCAATTGCCGTGTGGTGATGCTTGCTTTTGTTACCTTGTGTGTCATTTGTGCCGATATTATGTTTTTAAACTACCCTACGGAATGATGTGTTACATGCCCGGCACTTTTTGATGGCTTTTATAATTAACAATGTACTTTATAAGAAAGCTTGTGTAATTTCCATTACTTTCTCAGGAATGTCGAAAGCTGCATGTTGCTTATTTTTAGCAAGGAAAAATTTTGACTTATGAGCTAAGACTGATACTTGAAATCTTATGCAATTATATAAAACTAGCTTCTTTGCCCTTCCTAGGATGGAAGCTGTAATATTTACGAAAAAAATGAGCAGTGTATAATTGTATCTAGTGTAAAATTAATGGCAGTGAATCTTGCACATAAGTACATCATCAAACACTTCACTGCAGTTCACTGTAGCACTGTATATAACTGACCTTCAATTTGTTAAAATTCACTACTCTGATACTTTATTATCTTCAGCTTTCGGTCGCTGGGGTCAAAATAAATTGGAAATCGATACAATATATAGAAAATCACTGAGAAATGTCTATTTTACCGTAATGTATAAGCATAATTTAGACTAACCTTTTGTCTCAAGAGCTGAAGAAATAAATAAAGACACCAAATCCACTTTGTTGCTGCGTAGAATTATTTATTAGATTCACTTTCAATAAAGAAACGTCAAACTTAAAGCGAATTTGCGAAAAAATTGTTATTTCCACTCGACCTGCGTGAATAAAAATCCACCCGCTCATGAATATTAATGATGGTGGGAGGGGGGTGCGGCATGTGGAGTGACGTCATGCGCGGGACATGAAATTATATAAAATGTACATTTGGGTTTTAAGCACTTGGCACATCTAACAAGACAATTTTTTTTAGCAATTATTATATTAATTATATATTCAGTTTGCAACTAAAATGAGAAACTACTGGCAATGAATCTATTTTAAGATATGCAACACCAATATCTCGATTCACACAGCTTTCGAGATGACGTTCTCGCAGTAAACGAGCCACATTTGACAAGTGGCTTGAGTTTAAAGTTATTGATAATGAGGCGTAGAGACATTACACTTGGAAATTTTAGACCCTTACCGTCAATCCTGGAATGTTTTTCTTTGCCGGTCATCTCCCATTGGCACAGCCTGAAAATAGCCACAGGGGAGTCTATGCCTGTGGTTAGATATCTGTGCCCACAGCGAATCGAGGAGCATAGTAAGTAGCCGTCGGTGACACCCACACAGGCCGGCGAAAGGAGTGCTCCCACATTCGACTTCTTCGTGTACGTGAGCTGCCAACTCAAAGCAGCAATCACTGTCACCCAGGTCAAATGCGCCATGTGGCTGATTGCAGACAGAATCTCAAGTCATTGTGCACACTGCAAAGGCACTATAGAAATCAAGTTGAAATGGATGTGCGTTTTGTAGTAGAGGGAAATGCATTTTAATGCTTCTCACGCTCCTATGTTCACTCTAACCCAACCTTGTGGATTCACCAGTATGACTGATTAATTCTGTGTCCATAAACCATATGCAGCTTCAATGACATGCAATATTTTATTTTGACAGTGAGATAGAAAATCAAATTAAGAGATGCTGCCATTGTGCCACCGAGCAGAATAGATATTTAACTATATACTATTACTCTTTGGTTCTTTTGGTGAAGTCATGTAGAAAGAAAATAAATTCAATAATAGAATACGACGTTTCGATTGAAACAAGCAATCGTCATCGGGTAGAAAACAAACCTAGTGAACTTAGAAATACAATGCAATCCAACACAGAGTCAGCTAACACAACAGTCAGCACCTTTTATATACTATTATTTTACCAGGTAAGGCCCACTGAACGACCTGGCCACAAATGGTAGCTCAACATAGTGGATTACGGAAATTTATAGCAGCCAAATACTTTAAATGCATGTTTCTAAATTTTTGGGGGGGGGGGGGGGGGGGTGAACCGGAGGACCTGGAGAAAAATCAACGGGATCACAGGGAACATGCAAACTCCAAATATACAGGGTTAGAATCGAACCCATGAGCTCCTGTACTTCACGAGGCGAGGTAGTTAGCATATGGGGTAGGGCGGGACATGCCCCATGGTATGAAAACTGCTTTGTTATTATTCGGTTATCAAACAATGTTCATGGTGACATCCAGTGTGCATGGTCAGATATATTATAGTTCCTCATGTTACTGATATTTCCTTGTGCAACATTTTTCTGTGGCAGCTGAAATGCAAACTTAACAATGTTGCTTGTCTTGACCCTTCTGCATACAGGTGCGACTTTGTGGGGAGCTGAACAAGATGGCAGGCGTGCTGGAGAGCTTTAAGAAGAGGGGGACGAGAGATTTGTCTGATCTGTACTCTATTGAAGTCCTCTGCCTTTGAGATACTTCACCAGTACCTTGCGACTAAACGCAGGGCTCTCGCTAAAATGACGTTGTGTACAGAATTGTGTACTGTGCCTAGTATGCATGTAACAATTAATCACCCTCCAGACAAATCGATTAATTAGATTCCTGGGTTTCAGGTTCTCAGTGAGCCAATTACAACATGAATAACAGTACAACTGCGTATTTATGAATCTGAAGCTGGTGAATAAATGCATCGTAACATGCCAAATGCCTATGACCAAATCATCTGGAATGAAGCCGATCTCACGAGCTAAGCAATGTCGAGCCTGGCTAGTGCTTGTATGGGTTAGCATAATTCACAAACTGGTTGCCTTCGGGCTGTAGGATGAACAGATCAGCACATCTGCTCTCCGCTGCTTCAACCTGCAGCGACCAGTTGGAAGTATGGTCAAATCATGGTGTGGCGAGACCCTCGTTCAGGAGTGGACTGGTAAAAGGCTAATGTCTAATTCCTATCAAGTGTTCAATCCACTTCATGGCAATATGAACAATGTTTTCACTTCATTATTCATGCACATTTATATCCCTGATTCACCCCCACAATAGTTGTAAAAAGTTATACATAATGTAAGCAGTTTTCCTGAAGACGACTGCTTGTGTTGCGATCGAAACGTAGTTTTTTTGTTATTTTTGGTTATTTTCTTTGAACCTATCTACGCGACTACCAAAATACCCAAGAATATAATGTAAGAAAATGTTTGTATCTGTGAAAGTTCACTGCAAATATTTAAAAGTAAACCCTATGTACAGCAATGTTGCTGCAATAAAGGTGTAATAAATGTAGTATTTTACTGTAATTTAATTACAATGTATCTTTTTGAAAGTCACGGACATGCACTTCCATTCATTAGTGTTTTAATATGTATCATGTACTATGTGCAGCACTTTTTTTCTTTTCAACATTACTCCAAAGTGATGCTGCTGTGGTACAATGGTTAGCACACTGGACTTTCAATCCAACGGTTGATGCTGGTTCAATCTCCCGGTGGGTTCTTTTGAGAAAAATGGGCAAGTTATTACATCCCCCCCCACCTCTCCATCCAGCAGTATAAATGGGTTCAGTCGATCGGTGAGTCATGTAATGGTATGCATCAGGCATTCCCACCTCTTCCAAGACGGTCTAGCTAGTGCGGAAGAGTAGACCAAAATACCCTCTAGAGGGGTTCAATCAACGGGCTCGATACCTCGTTGGTTCTGATTCACTGGGAATGGATTCCAATCGTAGGACTTGAGCTGGCAAATAAATAATGTTGCTATTGTCTTCTTGGTTCTTTCGGTAAAGTCACGTAGAAGGGAAGTAATAAAATAATAAAATAAAACAATTCTCACGACGTTTCGGCTACAACGCAAGCAGCCGTCTTCAGGTGAAGAATGAGACACTACCAAGCTAGGAGCTTATATATACGCTGCATTGGAGGTGCAAGAAGGGCGCCTTAAAAAGAATGTGCATATGAAGAGGAATTTAGCATATTCATGGCAATGCGTAGGAGGTGGGCGGGGGGGTTTCAAAGTCATGCCATGCATTATGCAGGATCAGCAGCACCAAGGGAGGGTGCAGAGAGTAGCATTAACAAAGGAATGTTGATAGTATGTAGCTGCAGTTACTAAACAACCACGTAGAAAACTAAAGTATAAACTACATAAAAAACTAAAGTATAAACTGCATAGCACCATCAGTATACTTAATATACTCTACAATAAGCTGAGTTACAGCAAGCAATACATTACAATTCTACGTCGTAAAAATTATATATGCTTCCATCTAAACTTTATTCTCTTACATCACACGAGCATACACCGTACTATATACTGCCATAGATAAACCCAACATTAAATTATATACTGTATACATTTTAATATAACACTTATTCTATCCACCTTAATGTGTATCACACTGCTATATGTTTACTATACAATTACGATACTATATATTACTTTGTACATTGTATTAAGCATATAAATGTTGCTATTGCGTTTAATGTTTTGCACCACCATTGATTATGAAATGCGTTTAACATGTTTTTTTAATGCATGTATTTACTAATTAAAGTGTAATTCCGAATTGAGATTTCAATAGGTGGGTTTGGAGAGGTAGTGAGGCTGGTAACCTCAAGTCATCTGCGCCGTCATCCTCACGGATCTGCGTGTAGTTTGCTCAAACCTCTAAACAAAACTTACAACATAGAGAATGGTGTGACGAGGCCTTCATCCAGCAGTGGACTGAACAAGGGCTGATGTAGGAAATATCTAAATGGAAAGCTGCAAGGCTCGAGATGAATGTCAAGTGCATTCCTGAAAATGAAATACGTGGGGGCGGGGAATGCCAGTTCTCGAAGGTGCATTGGGATCAAAGCATTAACTCCTCCAACCATATGTAGTTAATGTAACACGTTTTAACTACTATAAAAAGTGGTCGAATTGTAAACAAATCTTATGTCCCTGAGCCCCGTCCTTTTGCCGAGCCCGTCGCACTTTCCTCGGCAGAGCCGCTAGTCCAGCGCGGGGCCTCGGCGCGGCCTATGCGACGTGGCGGCTAAGACGCATACAAATACAATCTCGTGTATCTCAAGTCGGTAAAGAACCTCTCCCGACGCAGCGAGTGTGTTTCGCGTTAGTTCAGCGAAGTTTTAAAGACGAATTGAAGGGAAAAGAAAGCGATTTCGCACGGCCCACGTGCGATGACGATTGTGTTGGACGAGTCCATTGTGAGGCGCTTCTATTCCAGGGATAAAACTATGAACTTAAACATCCGCGGCAAAATATTTCATTCAATCGTAAAATGATAAATTTGTTAAATCGACCCAACACGTGTCGCGACCTGACACGCGAGTTTTATTAAATGGACCATTCCGTTCGCGACGTCGCGATTCGATTCCTGCTCGATTCGAGGTTTGGAGAATCGCTTCACCGCGATTATTGAACCCCTTCCGCGAAAACGATGGCCTTTGATTAATCGGTTTATTAATCGCAGAATAAACTCTGCTAAGGAACGAAAACGTATTTGTTATACGGACGTCGGTTGCTTCCGTGGCCGTCTGTTCCGCTTGCAATGTACGGAATCGATTGTACCGTTCGACTAACGGTCCGAATCGACGCATCGGCGACTGATGCAACTTCCAATGGAATCGGTCGCTTTAGATTAATCGATCTCACCGCCGAATCGTCCCCGTTAATTGAACACAACAACAACAACACAATGGAACTTAATTGGACAGGGAAAGATTGGAGAGAGGTGGGTTCTGGAAGCGCCGTCGGATTTCTGTGTCCCCTCCCGAAGCGCCTCTGATCACCGCTGCGGCTGTGAAGACGGCGAGGGAGGAGGAATGGGGGGGGGGCAATGCAGTAGGAGGCTCCATATTGGGAACAAGCGACACGCGGCGATGGAGGGAGAGATGGGGGGGGCAGCTAAACAAACACAATTCCTACCGTCAACTTCAGTAAAAAAGATACAAAAAATGTCAACCACGTTGTGTGTTCCATCGCCACCGACGACAGGCGCTGTTCGTCGCATTGAGCGGCGGTGACGTTTGTGCCAGGCTAGGTGCGCTTAGAGGTGGTCACGTCCATGCTGATGGGTCTTGCAGACGGGGTCAATGCATAGTCCCCCGAGTGGTTATGGGTTTATGCTGATTACGTCAATTAAATTTACGACACTTGTATGTATTAAAAATAATCACCCCGTTATCATTTAAGCGTCTGTAACGTCACCACCAACGTTTGTGCCAGGCTAGGTGCGCTTCGTAGGCCAGGTACGAGGTCACTGGACGGATCCAGATCGTTACCGGTTCATCAGCCATGGTCAATGCTCTGTTGGATTAGCTCCCCCAATCCGGTTCCACCACTCAAAACTACAGCACTATGCAATAAAAGCCACCACCGCGTGTGCCAGGCCGGATCCACTGACCACGTGAAAGTGGTTGGCCAGCAGGTCACTGGGCAGACCCCATGTGGCTACTGTTTTTTTTGGGTTGTCAATCGGCATCATCAGCAACACCTATGGTCAATCTACTGCTGGATGAAGGCCTCCTCCAGCCGGGACCACTGACTAATCAAAATAAACAAAGCGAACTACAACAACACTGCACTTTTATGAAATACAGAAACCCACGTGGCTCCCACACTACCACCATCTACAACCCCGAACCTGTCTCCCATCACTACCACCCGCTACTCCATGTCTCTCACTACTACCACTACCTCCAAACCCACGGTGTCTCCCATTACCACCACCACTACCTCCATCACCAAACCCACGTCTCTCCCATCACTACCAACAACATCTCCACGTCTCCCATTACCACCACCACTACCTCTATCAACAAACTCACGTGTCTCCATCACTACCACCAACATCTCCACGTCTCCCATCACTACCACCACCACCACTACTCCCATCAACAAACCCACGTGTCTCCATCACTACCACCAACATCTCCACGTCTCCCACCACCACTACCCCCATCACCAAACCCACGTGTCTCCATCACTACCACCAACATCTCCACGTCTCCCACCACCACTACACCCATCACCAAACCCACGTGTCTCCATCACTACCACCAACATCTCCACGTCTCCCATTACTACTACCACCACCACCACTACCCCCATCACCAAACCGACGTCTCTCCCATGACTACCAACATTTCCACGTCTCCCATTACTACCACCACCACCACTACACCCATCACCAAACCCACGTGTCTCCATCACTACCACCAACATCTCCACGTCTCCCATCACTACCACCACCACCACTACACCCATCACCAAACCCACCGTGTCTCCATCACTACCACCAACATCTCCACGTTTCCCACCACCAAACCCACGTGTCTCCATCACTACCACCAACATCTCCACGTCTCCCACCACCACTACCCCCATCACCAAACCCACGTCTCTCCCATGACTACCAACATCTCCAAGTCTCCCATTACTACTACCACCACCACTACCCCCATCACCAAACCCACGTGTCTCCATCACTACCACCAACATCTCCAAGTCTCCCATTACTACTACCACCACCACTACCCCCATCACCAAACCCACGTGTCTCCATCACTACCACCAACATCTCCACGTCTCCCATTACTACCACCACCACCACTACCCCCATCACCAAACCCACGTGTCTCCATCACTACCACCAACATCTCCACGTCTCCCACCACCACTACCCCCATCACCAAACCCACGTGTCTCCATCACTACCACCAACATCTCCACGTCTCCCATTACTACTACCACCACCACCACTACCCCCATCACCAAACCGACGTCTCTCCCATGACTACCAACATCTCCACGTCTCCCATTACCACCACCACCACCACTACCCCCATCACCAAACCCACGTGTCTCCATCACTACCACCAACATCTCCAAGTCTCCCACCACCACCACGACCCCCATCACCAAACCCACGTGTCTCCATCACTACCACCAACATCTCCAAGTCTCCCATTACCACCACCACTACCCCCATCACCAAACCCACGTGTCTCCATCACTACCACCAACATCTCCAAGTCTCCCACCACCACCACGACCCCCATCACCAAACCCACGTGTCTCCATCACTACAACCAACATCTCCAAGTCTCCCATTACCACCACCACTACCCCCATCACCAAACCCACGTGTCTCCATCACTACAACCAACATCTCCAAGTCTCCCATTACCACCACCACTACCCCCATCACCAAACCCACGTGTCTCCATCACTACAACCAACATCTCCAAGTCTCCCATTACCACCACCACTACCCCCATCAC